TCCGAGCTCGTCGCGCAGTGCGGAGACCACCTGCAGGGAAGGGTCCGAGAAGGGTCCGAGAAGGGTCCGAGAAAGGTCCGAGAAGGGTCCGAGAAGGGTCCGAGAAGGGTCTAAAAGCTCGTCCGCAGTGTGCGGAGACCGGTGAGGGAGGAGGGGAGGAGGGAGGGGGTGCGGCCGTTCTCCTCGCCGCGCAGCCCAAAGGCGCTGGCACGTGAGGAGCAGCGAGCAGCGCGCGCAGGGCTGCGCGCGCGTCGACTGGCGGAGAGTGCGCGTGTGTCGAGGGCGCGGCGCGCCTGGCCGCCGCCAGACGCCGGCGCAACCTGCGCGGCGGTGCGGATGCTGCAGCCGACATCACCTCCGATGCCACTTCTGCTGCCGCTGCTGCCGCTGCTGCCGACGCTGCCGCTGCTGCCGCTGCCGACGCTGCCGCTGCTGCCGACGCTGAAGTCACTCAAGCAGCCGGCCTCGCCCACGCGCCCGCCCGCGCCGCCGCGCGGGGAGGAAGAGAGGGCGCGGACCCAGTCTCCGCCCGCCTCCACCCACGCGCCGTAGTAGCGGAGCAAGTCGTCGGACGGGGGCATCGACGCGAGCGCCCGCACCTCGGCGAGCGCCGCCGCGTCCACGTCCGCCGGCCAGGCGACCACCTTGATGGCAAACTCGTCTTGCGGCGCGGCGCGGCTGCGCGCGGCGACCACCACACCAAAGGCGCCCCTGCCCAGCACGCGGCCGGGCAGAAAGTCGCGGTGCAGACGCGGCAGCGACGGGGCGGAGGCCGAGGAGTCCGCGGGGGCGGGAGCAGGGTGCGCCGTGGCGGTGGCCACCCCGCAGAGCGGGGTGCGCGCGCCCAGCGAGGACGCGCCGCCGCCGCCGCCGCCGCCGCGCCGCCACCGCCGGTACTCTGCACGGAGGGCCATGTCTTGGCTGAGCGGTGAGTCGCTGCGGAGGCTGCTCGGCGCATGCGCTGCGGAAACGTGAGCGTTGTTGGCGAGGGTGCGGACGGCGATGCTGCCGACGACGCCGCTATTGGCGTACGCGCCGCGGTAGAAGGTGGAGCGCATGGCGAGATTCGGGCCGTCTGCCCCGACAGCCGCGGCCACAACCCAACAGCCGCCGCGCTTTTTCTTTTCTCGGTAGCCGGTGTGTGCGCGCGAGAGGGGAGGCAGAATTCTTTTCTCGATCCAAGGGGCGCTCGCGCTGCGCTGGGAGGTACTGGGAGGGAGAGATGGCGCAACGGGTCCCTATACAGATGATGCAAAGCCACGCGCCTCACGTCAACGCGGTCTTGCGAGGCAACGAATTGGCGGTGCGTTCGTGGCTTAAGGAAGGCGGGCGAGCGAACGCTAAGCACGAAAGGTACATTCTCGTGCAGAATGGCAAGGTGTACCTTCGTGTAAATGGCATTACGCTGCTGATGGATGCCGCACGGGAAGGTCACGAACGGGTAGCCACCTTGCTGTTGCAGCACGGCGCGGAGGTCAACGTGCAGGACAGCGCCGGCGGCACCGCGCTGATGTACACTGCCGGCAAAGGCCACGAGCGGTTGGTCGAGCTGCTGCTTCGGCACGGAGCTGAGGTCAACATGCAGGGCAACGAAGGCACTGCACTGATGGCCGCCGCCTTCTGCGGCGGCGAGAGGATGGTCGAGCTGCTGATTCGGCACGGGGCGGAGATCAACCTGCAGAACCTCAGCGGCCGCACCGCGCTGATGGCCGCCGCTCGCAGAGGCCACGAGCGGGTGATCGAGGTGCTGTTGAGGCGCGGCGCGGATGTCGACACGCAGGACAGCACAGGCCTCACCGCGCTGATGGGCGCCGCCGGCAAAGGCCACGAGCGGGTGGTGGAGCTGCTGCTTCGGCACGGAGCTGAGGTCGACACGCAGGACAGCACAGGCCTCACCGCGCTGATGGGCGCCGCCGGCAAAGGCCACGAGCGGGTGGTGGAGTTGCTGCTTCGGCACGGAGCTGAGGTCAACATGCAGGACAACACAGGTGGCACTACTGCACTGACGTGCGCCGCCTCGAACGGCCGCCCCGCCGTCGTGCGGCGCTTGCTGCTAGCTGGCGCGCATATGAAGGCACTTTCTACGGACGGCAAGTCCGCGCTGCAGTGTGCCAAGGATGAGGCGTCCAAGCTGGCTTCTCCCGACGGCGACCACGCTGGGTGTGTGCGCGCTCTCGAGGCGGCGGAGAAGGCGGCGGAGAAGGCGCTCGAGGCCAAGGGGCGGCGCGAGCAACGCGAGCGGGAGGAGGCGGTGGCGGTGCGCGAGCGCGAGCAGGCGGCAAGCAAGCGAGAAGCAGAGCGAGCGGCGGACGAGGCGCGGCGGGCGGCGGCTGCGGCGGCGCTCGAGGAGGAGAAGCGAGCGATTGCGGCGGAGGCGGAGGCGAAGCTGGCCGCTGAGCGCGCGGCAGCAGAGGTGACGCTGCGGGCGAGGGAGGCGGAGAGGCGAGCAGCAGAGGAGGCGCAGCTTGCGGCGCAGCGGGCGGCGGCGGCGGCTCGCAACGCGGCTAAAGCGAAGACGGAGCGGCGCGAGAAGGAGGCTGCGGACAGGAGGGCGGAGGAGGAGAAGGCGAGGCAGCGCGCAAAGGCCGTGGAGGCATCGGCTGCCAGGAAGGCGGCCAAGGAGAAGAACAATAAGGCCAAGAAGGCGCCGTCCGCCTTCAAGCTCGAGGAGGAGCGGAGGGCGAAGGCTGCGGCAGAGCTTCGCGAGCAGGAGGAGAGGGCGGCGCGGCTGGCTGCTGAGCAGGAGGCGGCGAGGCGATCTGAGCGCGAGGTGGCAGAGCGAGCGGGTGCGGCGGAGCGGGCGGCGTTGCGAGAGGCTGCGGAGCTGGCAGAGGCGCTGCGCCGGTCAGAGGTGGATGCGGAGGAAGAGGCGCTGGCGCGTCGGGTGTCGCGGTGCGAGGAGGTGGTGAGCAGCGAGTCGACCGGCGGCGGCGGGGACTTGCAGCGGCGTGTCGATTGGCTGGAGGCGAGCCTCGGCGCGGCGGCCGAGGGTGGCCTTGAGGAGCGGGTCAGCGCCATCGAGCGCTTGATCGGGCCGGAGGCGGGAGAGGCGGCGGAGCAGCCTCTGCCAGTCACTGAGCCGCTTGCTGCCGTCTCACTAGCGGACGCCGGCCTCGACACGGGGCGGCCGGCTGCCCCCGAGTCCACCATGGGAGGCGAGACGTCGTGCATCATATGCTTCGAGCGGCCGAAGTCTCACCTCGCGGTGCCGTGCAGCCACTTGTGCGCTTGCGGTCCATGCTCCGGGCTGATGCTCGAGTGTCCGTATTGCCGCGAGCCAGTGATGATGTGGCTCGCCCCGCGCCCTGTGTAATTTAGCTCGATGCACTAAAATGAGCTTGTGTTTCTTCCCCCAGGTTTTTCCGGGATTTTTCTTTTTCCAAAAGCAGGCAGGAAGTTTGCGAGAGGTTTGGACCGCGCCCGCGAGCCAGCCTCGAGGAGCCACGGAGCCAGCCCGCAGCCGGCAGCCGCCAGCGCTTGCGCGACGCCGAACGAACGACCCCCTTGCCTTTTTTTCTTAGTTCGAACGGAGTCCTCACACCTCAGAAGACAGAAGTGTCACAACGCTGGCCGCCGCAGCGCGGCTTCGATCTCCTCACGCACACTCACAGGAAGCCGGACGACGGGCGCCAGCAGCCGAGTGAGTCGGTGAGCGACGAGTTGGGCACGTACTGCCACGGGCACTCGAAGAGGCGGTGCGCGTAAAAGTGCTGGCAGAGCGGCTTCCCTCCGGAGCAGGCGGACATCGCTTCCAGGGAGGGGGGCGCCCTTCTCTGCACGCCCCACCCCCCCCCTAGCATGTGGTGAAGGCGCTGGGGGGGTCGGGACCCCCCCCCTAGCATGTGGTGAAGCCTCTGGGGGGGTCGGACCCCCCCCCCTAGCATGTGGTGAGGGGGCTGCCGCCGGTGCACCAGAGTCAGGCCCAGGGCCAGCAGCCTGTGCAGAAGAAGCAGAGCGCAGCGTGCGAGAAGGTCGAGCGGCTGGCGCCGAAGAGGAGCGGCGGCGCTGGCCTTGCTGTGCCGCTCCGGCGTCCGCCACATTAAGGCCCGCAGAAGAAGGAAAGGGATCGAGCTGGACAAAGGCGTGATCCACATTGAGGTCCCGGAAAGTGCATGTCAGAGCATAGCCTTTGAGATGCGCCAAGGCCTCATGCCAGCGAGAGAACGGCTTGCAGAAGAATGCCTCGCTATCGGCCATCTCATTGAAGAATTGCTCCATCCACACAGGGTTGAATCCCTCCGTCCAGAGATCAAACGAACGAATGTGCTCGCCTGCGCCAGAGATACCAGCCAAATGGAGGCAGAGTCCCTCCAGAACGTAGAGTGGAACGAGGTAAGCGTTGGAGTCGCTCCTGTCGTCTCCACCAGGGATCACGTGACGCATGCACACCACAAAGGGGTGGTTGGCAGGCTCCACCTTAAGCATGATCTCTGCCCTGCGAATGCCGGTGTAGCCGTCGGGGCACGGCCTGACAAGACTGATGGACAACTGCGTTGAGCCACGCGACCCCCCGTCGCTCATCGTGCCTCGCCCGAGTGGTGTAGTCCCGCACACACAAAATTCACTCACACGTTGGCGAGGGACCGCTCAGCACGATGGTAGAAGGGGCACAACGAGTCGGTCCACCAACGTTTGTGGCGGTCGGTAGAGCGGACCACAAACAAGTAACGCTCATTAGTAGAAACTTACGGGAGTTTACTTGGAGACCCCGCCCGGCGGCAATCGCAAGATCACCTCGTGCTCGTTGAGGATAGCCGCCGTAGGCCCAGCCCGTTGATCGCCGTGGACCACCTCCGGCGGTCAAGGCAACTTTATCTAGAGCCTGCTCTAGAAACCATCCTGTCAGAACATCTGTGGGAGCTCCACAAACCAGGTTAGAACCTTTACGACGTCTCTCGCATAAAAGAATTGTGATTCGCTCCCGGCAAGCCTCCGTTTCCCCCTTTATCGATCTACCCGCTAATTGCAACGACGCGTTCGCCTCGACACGATGTCATCTCCTACACGAGGCGCTGCAGCATCCACATCATCACCGGCTCGCGGCAGTACGGGCAGTCGCGCATCCGATCCGCGCAAGCGCCGCACGCGCACTGGTGCCCACATGGCACGGCGATGTGCGTCTTCGGCCTGGTAAAACACACGATGCATGTGGTCTCGCCGCCGAGGGTGGACTCAGGAACAACCGCCCGGCCAGTGTCGAAGTCGGCGTTGGCGAGCGAGACGGTCGCCACCGCTGGCTGGGGCTCTCCCGACACCGCATCGTCGGAGACGGAGTCGGAGCTCGGGTCCTCGGGTCCGATCGAGTCCTCATCGGGGGCCGCGGCAGCAAGCTGCGACGGCGACTCCGATGGCGGCGCAAAGGACTCGGCGAGGTCGGCCGGAGCAGCGGCGCCAACCTCCGGTGATGGCTCCTCTAGTGCCTGTCCCTCTGGCACTACACTCAGCCTCGCCGTCGCCTCGCCGAGGCAGCGGACAGGCACTCCCGCCTCCTTCTCCGCCTCGGGCGCCGCCACCTCTGCATCCACCTCTGCCAAGTCCGCCTCACCCGCCGCCTCGCCGTGCGCCTGCGACGACCCTGCCCTGCCCTTCCCCTTTTTCTTCTTCTTCTTTCCCTTCTTGCTTTCCTTCTTCTTGTCTTCCGCCTCCTTCTCCGCCTCGAGCTCCGCCAGAAGCGCGTCGCCTAGGCACAACCAGGTGTGTGATGACAAAGCCCAACCTCCATGTCCGCCAAAAGGCGTCTCGCCTCGCCGCTTCGCCTCCGTCTCCTTCGCCGCCCTCGCCGCCCTTGCTTGCTCCTCGATCAGCTTTGCGCACTCGGTGTGGCCTGCCTGCCTCGCATACTGCAGCGCCGTCTTGCCCCTCGCGTCGCACAGCTCCAGGTCCGCACCGCGCTGCAGAAACGTCTCGACCAGACGCTCATGGCCGTTGCCGGCGGCAAGCATCAGCATCGTGGTGTCGTCCACGCCGTCACACAGGAACGTTGCGTCCATCTGGCCGCCGCTGTCGACCCAAGCCTCAACCGTCGCCTCCCTGCCTCGCTCGGCCGCCCTCCAGACCTCCTCGGGGACCTTACACTCCAACATCCCCTCTGCCGCGTGCACGTCCCGGGGCAGCACCTTGTGGCCTCCTTGCGGCCTGAAGGCCTTCACGCACTCGGCGTGTCCCCTCCGGTGTGCGATCTCCATCGCGGTCAGCCCGCTCTCATTGCGCAGCCGAGTGTTTGCCCCGCCCCGCAGCAATTTGCGCACGATCGCAGCCTCGCCGAAGTAGGCGGCCGCCATGAGCGCAGTCATTCCGTTGCTCGCCCGCGCGTCCAGGGATGCGCCATGCTCCAGGAGCAGGTCGACCATGCCGGGCTGGCCAAAGTTGGAGGCGGCCATTAGCAGCGTCAGCCCGGCAACCGGGCCTTGGGTGAAGGCTGCGCTCGGGTCGCCGCCGTCAGCGAGATAGGCCCGCGCCGCCGCCTCGTTGCCTCTCTGGACCGCCTGCAGGATAGCATCGCGCGCCGGCGCCATTGTTCGCGGGGATGGAACCCTAGCCCGCTTGGAGCAGAGGAAGGTGAACTGCGCGCGCAGCACCGCGAGCAGAGGAGGTGAACCCCAACGCCAGCGCTCACTCAGAAAGAATTTTACAACAAAACTCCCGAGACGTAGGTCTGAAGATACGCTGCCTCTTTGCGCCGCTCGCTCGCGGCGGCAGGAGACATGGCCGCCGATGCGGCTCGCACTCGCTCGGCGGGCCTCCGTCCCACAGCCGCCCAGGCGTGCCAGGGGTCGGCCTGGCGCTGCGCTGCTCGCACGCTGCACTGCACAAAGCTGCGACAACAAGGGGAGGCTCCTGAGCTTCAGTGTTGAGCAGTACAGCTGCGGGCGCTCGTGGGCGGCTGTGCAGTGGTGAGAGTGCCTGTTTGGAGGCGAGCTGGCGCTGCGCCAGGGTGCGCAGCATGCTCCCTTGCTCTGTCCTGAGGCATGCTGGTTGGCGCCCAGCACAATGCCCTGGATGCATTGCTCCACGCCGTGCTGGCTGGTGCAGTACTGCCAATGCGCCGACTGGCGCGCAGGGTGCGCGTCGCCGCGCGTGGCACGGGAGGCGCGAGAGGCGCGGCTGTCGGTCAACCCCGCGGCGCATGGGCGCCGCGGAAGCTGCTCGACAGGCTGCGGGCATCGCTGCGGCAAAAAGCGCCCGCCCTCTGCTTTGCTTTCGCCCGCGTTTTACGACAACTTTCGGTTTATCATAGCCGCCGAACTTTACCTCGCTGTTTCTTTATAGGCGTCTCGCAGCTGCGTATTCTCGTATTATCTTCGAGTAGTTGCGTGGGGGCGGTATGTATTCTCGTATCAGTAGTTAGTGCCGTGTCCACTAGCTCCGAGTAGAGGGGGCGCTCCGCTGCTAGGGGAAACCTGGAGCGCGGACTAACCCTCGGAGAGTATTCTTTAGCTCCCGAGTTCATTTTATAAGAAAGAAAAAAAGACGCGCACTATTTTTTCTTTTTTCGAGCGGTGCAGAGCGGCTACCGACATGACAGTAGGTAGGTAGGTAGTAAGGTGAAGAACAGCCAGGCTCGGACTGGACACCAACGCGGTATGGGTGGACGCTAGACAGATGATGACGACACGCACGAGCGACACACAGACACAAACAAGCTCACAAGACACACAGCCAGCTGGCTGCCACACACCCTGAGTCGGCGTACACATAACTCATGACAGTTGGCGACGAGAGAGAGAGAGAGAGAATTCTTGATACGAAACCACGACGACACACACCAGTCGACTCGCATCGGTTGCCTCCATGAACGGCGGAGCTATTCTCGCGCCCACACCACACCTGGCTCCAACGTGGACACGCCCATAGCTGGGGACACTACTAGGTCACGCATGGCATCACAGAAGTTTTATCTCTGGGCCCCGAAAGGCATCTCTAGCAGTGTCGTTACACATGCTCCCTCCCCTTCTGGGCGCATGCGCCTCACGTCTCGCCAGAGCATAAGCCCTTGGCGTGTGGCGAGACGAGTTTTTCGCCATGCAGCGAGCAGCAACCCGCCCGCCGCAAACAGCCGGAGGCATCGCCACGGCACTGACTGCGCCGCGCTCCCGCACCCGTCGACGAAGCTCCCCCCGCGGAAGACCGCGCGTAGCTACGCCTTGACGATCGAGATGAGCGCGCTCGAGGCTCGCCCACCTACTGCCCCTGAGAGTTGGTTATGAGTGGGCTCGGCTCCCCCCCTTGGGATCGAAGCTTCCACGACCTCACACCCAACACCACAGGTGGGATCAGAGAGAGACTCCGCACCGGACACCGCCCGGGCACAGACTCCCTACCCATCGGATCGCACAGGGCCCCCTCGGAGCAGCCCACACACAATCACGCATCGGCAGAATTAGTGCCTGAGTCAGGCAGACAGCAGACAAGGATGAGAGAGGAGAGAGAGAGAGAGAGGAGAGAGGAGAGGGTGAGGGTGTGTGCACACGTGTGGAGAGGGAGTGTGTCTGTGGTGGGCTGTAGTCGTACTACGTGGTTAGAACCACGCGCCCCTCAGGAGCTTAAGGTAGAGCTGAGCGTCCAAGACGCCTCGGTGCCTCCCACCGGCGTGAAGACCATCCGGATCTATCTGCCGCGCCCTCCGTACGCAGCAGTCCCCGCGATGGCCCACGGTCCTCCGTCGCCTGGTTGAACCCCCTGCCTCCCGGTTGACCCCCCGGTCCCCGTACACGACCATGAAATAAACTCAAAGTCCACCACAGCCTCCAGCCTCCACCTCCACCTTCGAGCCACGATCGCTGCCGCCCGCGACGCCGCCCGCCGCGTCAGATAGCCGCGACGCGCGCATCGAGTCGCGTCGGAGAGCCGCGCCGCACCAGCAGCAGCATCTGCACCACCAGCAGCAGCAGCAGCACCACCACCACCACCCGAGAGAGAAGCGCACCTGCCCGACGCCGCCCGCCGCGTCAGACGCTCGCGACGCGCGCGTCGAGCCCAGTCGCACAGCCGCGCCGCGCCAGCAGCAGCATCGGCACCAGCAGCAGCAGCACCACCACCACCAGCAGCAACAGAGACAGTCAGTGCAGGCGCAGAGGCGCTCGCAGAGCGGCGCTCAGCGCCGCGCACGCCACCCTGCGGACCGTCGGACGAGCGCACCGTACGTCGGCGGCGAGCCGCGTCGCCAGCCGTCTCGCGAGAGAGCGGCGCCGCCGCGTGCGCGCAGCAGCCGCCGCGGCAGAGGCGAGCCGCGGCGACGTCCGCACTAACGGATAACGGCCATTCTCTCTCTCTCTCTCTCTCTCTCTCTCTCTCTCTCTCAGTTGGCGACGGTCTATGATTCATTGTTTTTTCCTTTTTTTCCAAAATCCCGCCACCTCCAACCGCGAAGTCCAGCCTGGAAGGCGGTCGACCTGTTCGTCATGCCCCAGTCTTTCGCCACCGCGGCCGGCGTGCTGGCCGCCGAGCGGTCCTACGCCACCGGCGGCGCGGCGGGTATGCGCAGGGCCATCCGCTCCGCTCCGCTGCCGAGCCGCGAGCCGCCGGTGTCCGAGTCCTCCTCCATCGACTGGAGCGCGGTGCAGTGGTCGCAGGAGGAGCAGGAGGCGCGGCGGCGGCAGGTGGCGGCGGCGCGGCCGGCCGTCGCAGCGGCCAACAGCCGTCGCGGCGCCGCCCAGCTCGCAGCAGCCGCCGCAGCATCGCCGAGGCCGCGGCAGCAGAACTCCTTCCTCGCTTCGGGGTGGAAGGGGGTGGGCGCGCCGCCGCCGCCGCCGCGTACCGCCGCCGGCCTCGCGCCTCCGGGCCCTTCGGAGGCGGACGTGCGCCGTGGCGCTATGGCTGCAAAGGCGCGCCGGCAACCTCCGCCGCGGGCGAGCGGCGGCGCAGGCGGCGGCGGTGGAGGAGGGAGCGGCGCGGGCGGCGGCGGTGGAGGAAACGGTGCGGGCGGCGGCGCCAGACCTGTCGGCGGCGGCCGCGGAGGCGGCGGAGGCGCCGCCAGCCGCGGCTGCGGCGGCAGCGGCGGTGTCAGTGGCGGCGGTGTCAGTGGCGGCGGCGGCGGCGGCGGCGGCAGCGTCGGGAGCCACGATGGCCGTTCCTCGGCGCCGTCGAGCCGAGCGGAGGCGGACGCGCTGCAGTGGCAGGGAGGGTGTGAACAGCGTCTCTTCACACCTACTGCTGTGAACAGGCGGACGCGCTGCAGTGGCAGGCGGCACAGCTCGCGCTGGCTCGCGAGGTGCGGGAGATACGGGGAGATGCGGGGAGATTTGGGGAGATGCGGGGAGGTGTGGGGAGATGTGGGGAGGTGTGGGGAGATGTGGGGAGATGTGGGGAGGCGTGGGGAGATGTGGGGAGGTGTGGGGAGGCGTGGGGAGATGCGGGGAGATGCGGGGAGATACGGGGAGGTGTGGGGAGATACGGGGAGGTGTGGGGAGATACGGGGAGATGTGGGGAGATACGGGGAGGTGTGGGGAGGTGTGGGGAGGTGCGGGGAGGTGTGGGGAGATCAGAGACCGAGAGA